ACTACCTCAAACTTTCTTATCAATTCAAAACAAAAGACACGTTAGAATGAACTCGGTCGGTCCTTATTATTATTTTCATCATCATTTTTTTTAATGGTTGATCGAACCTGATGTAGGTTGCCTACGCATCATGTAGGAACATGAATTAAATCTTGCGTAGTTCGGAAAAATCAGGAATAAAGTAAATAAACTAAATCTTTTTTTTTTTGGCTTTTGAATTTTGAATTTTGATTTTTTTTTATAATTTTTGATGTAGGTTGCCTACATATCATGTAGGAACATGAATAAGATCTTGCGTAGTTCGGAAAAATCAGGAATAAAGTAAATAAACTAAATTTTTTTTTTGGCTTTTGAATTTTGATTTTTTTTATAAATTTTTTAATTTCCGAAAAAAAAACTTATAAAGAAGAAAGAAAATATTTTGAATTTCGATTTGTTTTTTTTTGTTGAGAATTTTGAAAAAATAGACTTCTAAGAAGAAAGACGATATTTTTTTTGAATTTCAATTTTTTTTTGTTGGGAATTTCGAAAGAAAAATTTTAAAGAAGAAAGGAAATATTTTTGGATTTTTGGACTTTTATTTTGAATTTGTAAAAGAAAGACTTCTATAGAAAAAAAAAATATTATTGAATCTTGCATTTTCTTTTCAATTTTCAAAAGAAAAACCTCTGAAGAAGAATGATAACATTTTTGGATTTTGAGAAGAAATTATAAGAACATCTTTTTTTATTTTTAAAAATTGGGGTCTCAAAGAAAGACTTTTCTAAAGAAGGAAGTAAAGGAAAATATTTTTGAATTTTTTGAAAATTGTGGACCGGAACTGATGAGGTTTACCTACGTATCTCACATCCGGTGAGAATCAGACCCGCGTAGTTCGGTCAGTTTTGACACAACAGAAAAATATGACTTTTGAAAATATTGACTTATTTTGAAATGACTTTCTTTTACTCCTTATTTTTTCTTTTTTTTTTTCTTCAAAATTTTGGCAGAGTTTCGGGGTTTTCAAATACCTGGATTTTTCAAAAACCGAGTAAATTTTATCTCTCCTGCCTCATCTTGTTTTTTCTTGGTTTCCTTTCCCTATTCTGGAAGCCGGTCAACATGCAAGACGAAACAAATAAATGCGCAAGTAGTACGTAAAATACATCATAATGGTCTTTAATTTTGGGTGCACCTGTCCTAGACGGACCCAACCCCCGTGTTGAGTCCCCAAAGTCAAGCGCACGTGATGCAAACAAACGTTCCTACTAGGGATCCGGCATGAGGCTATGTTATTCTAGGTTTAGATCCTGGGTGTGTTGTTCTACACCTGGCTTACCCGAGCGGACAACACGAGCCGGGGAGGGGAGGGGGAGGGGGGCAGCATACGGGAATACAGAAGCTTCACCAGCTTTGCAACTTGTCCGATCTTCATTCTATAATTAGGGGTATGACTCTAACAAAAAAGAAGCCACCCGAAGCGCACGCTTCCCAGAAGATTTAGAAGACTCAGAGAGAAGAGGGGTGTCGTAACAGTTTTATATACAGTTCACGGCAATATTAAAGCGGTAGATGAGCGACAATTAGCACATTAGGCCCAAACATGTAATATCAGACAATCACAAGAAAGCCAAGTATAACAGTTATTTTAAGCTCGAATTCTGAACCCTGAACCAGAGATTCTAGGTTCGGTCTCCAGCAGAATCGCAAGAGCTGCCACACCTCCTTTTTCCGAGGAATAGGGATAGGGAGTTTTTCCAATTAAAGTGACATTAATCGAAATGAGATTATTTATTTAATTTAGAGTCGCTATATTGGAATAATTTATTATGGTGTCCCAAGTCATCGGTTTATTTTAAAATCCCAAATCGAGGAAATTGACTCTATTTATGGTCTGCGAACACAGAAGACCGGGTAAGAAATTCTGTTAACCCGAGAGAAGGTGTGAGGCACTCCCGAGTTCCGTAGTTTTAGCACGGTCGCTTAACAATTAATAATTTACCTAATTATCTGATTTATTACATGTTTAAAACTTATTGTGCATTTTATTGCTTCTATACTGCTTTTAATTATTTTAATTTCTCTTTAGGATTTATGAAAATTTATGTAAATAAGTCGCGGTGTCGCGCACTTATTATTTTTGTACGCATTACGAATCGCGTCACGTGAAACGCACCCGCGATTTACAACATGTTTATTTTTTATTATTATTTAAAGTTATGGTCAAGTCGCGTGAAACGCGCACCCAAATTGGGGATTATGTATCATGATTATGCCACAAGAACTGTACCCATAATCACGATGATTTATATTATTAATCGCGCCTAAAGCAACTAGCGGTTATTAAGAATTATAATTATTACGGATGCAAGACCTTAGTAAATCCACGCGGCCTACCAAATTTACAAGATTAATCACTGGCCCAATTATTAGTTCTATCAAGCCATGCCACTAGGGGTGTTCAAAATCGAACCGAAAAAGAAATCCGAACCGCAAAAGTGGCTTAAAGGCTTATTTGTATCGGGTTAACGGTTTAACGAATGGGGAACGGATTAAAATTTTACGGCTTATCGGTTTGTGGGCGGATTATTCAATTTTCTTAACGGATAATCCGTTAACCCGTTAAGAACATATATATATATATTAAATAGTAAAAATCCCTTCCACTTTATACTTATGTTGTCTCTATGATTTGCTTTATGACTACTTTGGACAGTGCTTAGTTAAAGCCACTCAAATGCTTTATTTCCTTCTCGTGGGTTCAGTCACATGTTACTCTCTAGTTTCATGCTAATTAACACTTTGCTGTATTTTCACTTAAGACACAAAACTAATGTGATTTTACTGTAATTATCTTCTTGGAACATTCACAAGGTTCTACACCCTTCGTTAACAGTTATATCATTTAGATTGCAATTAATTAGTCTGCTTGTTCATTCGATTTGTCTGTGTAACATTATACTTCGTTAATAAGAACATTCACAAGGTTCTACACAACTTTTATGAACTGTGAACAAGACCAACAAACTAGCTAGTTGAACTGTAACATTATACTTGGTGTTTCCAGTAGCCCTACTGCTCAAATGTTCTGCTGCTACTGGAACTCGTGCAGATCTGAAATGCTATCTCTGTGTGTCTTAGATTTTCACTTCGGTTTATTACACAATTTACTAATTAAAGAGGCACAATCTAAATCGATAACCGCCCGATAATAGCTAAACCGATACCAATCCGCCCGATATCTTATCGGGTGGCTAGCGAATTAATACATTTAAAAGCTGATAACCGATAAGCCGAACCGTTAAGAGTAAATAACCGTCTGATCCGCCCGATAAGCAACCCTATACGCCACTATCAATTAGTCGGTTCCAAACCCAACTTCTATTAATTGAATCATTAAAAATCCATGACTTAACACTATTGTTTCATTGATTTCTCGTTCAACTTTCAAGAACAAATTTAATAACAATAGATCAATGCTATATGATCGTAAGATCGACAAACTACAAATCCAAACATACAGGTTTTAATCAAGAGCTTTAAAACACAAAACAAATAAACGACAAGAAAAATGGACTGAACTAACAGTAAGCAAAAGGAAGCGCGGACCTCGAGAATGAAACTTTTCTGATTAAAATGAATCTCCATGAATGAGTATGTCAAACTGAAAATGAGCAACAGTCCACATGGTTTCTTACGTATATGGCTACAAATCGGACTGCCGCCAGAGCTGCAAACGAACACCTCATCGGCAAACTCAATTTCGACCTTCTTGGGCTGGTATTTGGAGTTATTTTTCAGCTGAGTTTAAGGCTTTTGGAGCTTGGTTTTCGTGGCTACTTTGTTGCATTCTGGGGCTGGAATTTAGTTGAGTTTTAGGGAGACTGTTTTGGGGCGTTTTTCAACTACTTTTGGAGTTGTTTTGCTGGTGTTTCAAGGGTGCTTCAGGGGTGTTTTAGGTTAAAATTGAGCATATTTTTAGCTGCTATTTCAAAGCAAAAGAAGAATAGGCTTATGGGTAGGAGAGCTATGGAGCTTAAGGGGCTATTTTAATGGCTGATTTTCAGCTTTTTCTATGGAGCCTGAAATGCAGAAACAAAGTGCTTTTCTCGTTCTCTCTCTATTTCTGTTTTCTTTGTTCTTCTTTTCGTTTTTTTACCAGATCTATCTTCTATTTGGCCTCTTTGTGTTTTGGCATGTGTGTGTTTTTTAATTGTGTGATTGAGCGAAAGATATATAGGTGCACGTATAGGGATTAATTGGTGGCCGAAAAAATAAGAGTGTGTATATGCATGTGAGTTTTGAGTGAGAGCATGTGAGTTTGTTACAAAAAATAGGGAAGAATCTTGTTAGGTGGCCCTTTTGCATTGGTTTTTTTTTTCTTTTTATTTACTTATTAAAGATAATTAAAATTAAAATACTACACTAAAACTAAAAACTAGAAAAATATAAGAAACTATTAAGGAAAAAGTTATAAAATTTCTAGCCTTACTAAAATTAGAAGAAAAAATATATTTTTGTGAATTTTTTTCTTTTTCAAATTAAAATAAAGCTAGTAATTAAAATAATGTGAATCTTTTATGAGTTTTAATTTCCTAAGAAAAATCTACAAAAGGTAAAATAAAAGCTAAAATATATAGATTAAACTCAAATAATATTTACATACTAAAAAGTGGAAAAAAAATTCCGGTTATGGCCAAAAATTAGATGCTCCCAATAGTTAAACATTAAAAACTTGGAATGAACTAACACTAAGAATTTGAATCAAGAAAAATTGTTTCCTCTAATGTTGAGAACAAATGATTAAGTTTTGAACTAATTTAACAAAATAAGTCTTTGAATCAACTAATTTGTTAAAGAATCAAATTTAATTCTTTTACAAAATCATCATATAAGTAATTGCAAATTTTTTAATATTACATAAATTTATTTTGAAAGTCAAAAATAAAGCAAAATTAATTTATTTCCATAAATTGAGCATGGACTCTCATTTACCGCTTATAACTAGTCAGACTATTATCATAAGTGGAAAAGTACAACGCCATAGAAAGTTCTCAGGTATATACCCGATCAAGCTATGGCGATATCTCTTTGCTTTTCTCCACTTACTTCAACCCCAAAACACAATCCAAGAATCCCCCTTTATAAACCCATAAACCCCATTACTCTAACAAGTCCAAAGATTCTAAGCCCAAATCTTAAGACAATAACTAAATGTGTTCCTAAAAATTCTCAGAATCTTGCTGTGATTTCAGCAAAACCCAGATGGGAAAATTGGCTGTCAACTGCAGCCAACCTTTTCCCTGTCTATGTAACGGTTGGTGGGGTTGTTGCCTGCTTAAAGCCATCAACTTTTTCATGGTTTGTGAATTCTGGTCCTACTTCATATAGTTTGGCTCTTTGGTTTATTATGCTTGCGATGGGTCTTACGTTGGAGGTCAAAGAGTTAATCAACTTGTTGTTGCAAAGGCCTCTTTCTGTGAGTACACTCTTTTTTTTATTGTTTCACTCCATTTACTCACTTGTGAATTTTATTACCCACTTCTTTAATTAGTTGTAGAGTACTGTGACTTGTTTTTGCTTTCTTTTGGTTCTTGATATAAATGTCCTTAGTGAATTTTGCCAATTTTGCTTAGATGCCACATTTTGCTTGTCATGGATTTTCCTAATGAGCTGTAAGTGTGTTTGCTTTAGGTCCGATATTTGCTAGGAGTCTTTACCGCTTGTTAGCGATTTACTATATGCCGGTGAAAATATTGAGAACTTCTAGCGCTAGAGAAACTGAAATTTTCATAATATTGGACTGAGACGGGCTTAAATGCAGTGGCATGGATAGAGAGGATAGCCGAATCCAACTTACTTAGGAATGAGGCGCTGTGTTGTTGTTTATGAGCTACAAGTATAATTTAATCTAACTCAGAAAATTTTGTTATCTTCTTTCTGAATGCTATCATCGAGCAGGTCATAATTTGTGCATAATAGTGCTAATTACTCACAGATTCTTTTTGTTCTCTAACTTTTTTTCAAAAGAGTTTTCACCTAATCTTCCATAGCCAACAACAACAACAAACCCAGTGTGATGGGCCGTGGGGAGGATAGTGTGTACGCGGATAGACCCTCAGCTCAGGATCCACTTCATTAAAATTCAATTAATATGACGGGTCACATGTGAGTTACTCACGACTATTATAACTTTCTGTTTTCCCTATTTCGAACAACTCTCATGTTAACATGTTTTCGAGTGAGTAATTATTGGCACTGTGATAGTACCAACTTGGAACATGTGACTACAATTACGTGGTACTCGTACTTTGTAACATTTAATTTATGTTTTCAAACAAAGAAGTATAAACATATCCACTTGGTCCCATATTTGGACTACAAATATGTGGCATTCACACCTTATAACATTCAAATTAAGCTTAGAAATAAAGAAATTTAGACATGTCCACTTGGTCCGTCATTTAGTTTAAGGACATGGTTCCTGGTGATTTCTTGATTTAATGAAGTGAACATGTACTTTAATTTTGTTTCTTAAACTTTATTCAGACTAGATATTTGCATATAGGGAAATTTCTACAGGCTGAAACTCTTTGTTTTTTCCTCATCTTTCTAGATTCTATTTGGTTGTGCTGCTCAATACACAATTATGCCAGCCTTGGGTATGATTCTCAGCAAATATTTGGGTCTCCCTCCTTCAATTTCAGTTGGTCTAATATTGCTTGCTTGTAGCCCCGGAGGTACAGCGTCCAACGTGGTAAGGTGACTTTCTTCTGTATTTTTCTCCTTAAAGGAGCTAACATGTCAAGCTTAACGTCCGAATGAACATGTTTAGGTTGTAGGTGTCCAGTCTCTGCATATATGCAAACTTTTCAGTAATGATGTGAATCCGCAGTATGTTTGCTATTCTTTACGGTTTTCTCCGCTGAGTTTAAGTGGCATGAGTTTAAGTGGCATCTTTTGGTGTTTTTGGGGTCCCAAGTTATATTTCATTTACGGTCTTCATTTTTAAATTTCAAAATCATTTCATTGTTCTGCTTTTGACTAATTTCGGCCGACTTGTTCTGCTGAGCAGTATTTCCCTTATTAATAATTAAATTAAGGGAACTCACCTCCTAATCTATTGTACGGTATAATCTACAATCAAGAATTGACGTTGAGAATTAGAGCTAAAGGTAGATTTCATTTCAAATTGTTATGTGTTGTTTAAAACTGTATCACAAGAAATCCAGTGAGCTGAGAGCTACAACCACGAGAAGTCGTTAATAACTTCAAAAATAGAATATATTTCTCTGATACTTGTCTGCCTGCCTTGACTTTATTTACCTCTAGGTTGGCTAACCTGATCAGATGGTGACGAACTTTCCCGAAATGCTCCAATTTAGCACTCAATAAGGCTGCCTTGTACCGGCAGCGTCTTCATTTGGAAAAGGAAATCTTTGAAAGTTGACCAATTTCCTTTCGTTATCCTTTGTCTCAAACTCCTTCTATATGAGTTTCTAGTTCTATAGCCTCTGTTACCCAATAATTGGATCTAGACCCCTTTGTCAAATTCACTGCTGTGCATAATTGAAATTGAAAAATGGTTCTTGATGGCCAAAGTTGATTTATTATGTGCATGGATGTGCTTATCTTGACTTACAACCTGCTGCGCTACTATGTGCAGTGACGAATTATCTTTTATACTGCACCCTGCATATAGTTCAGTGATGTAGTGCTGATATTAACTACTAATACTATTTGCAGATGCCTTGTTGATAAATACTCTATGATTGGACGTTGCATCTCTCCACTTTACTTTAGAAAATCAAATTTTTTATTTTGAATTCTTAATGCTCGGGAAGTGTGAAATCTGTTTTAGCACTAAGAAGGAACCCTGGAGCAAAGAAGTGTAACTACCATGAGAGTAGAAGATATTGTTGTCTTTCTTTATACATTTTAGAGTGACATGTCACAAGGTATGGTATCGTGAGGAGCAAATAATTGTCTATATATGCTGAAAACAATCCCTTAAAATCATATTATCACGCTTTACGAAAAGGTGTCATTTCTCACACCACACGTTTAGCAAGCATACAAAATTGGACAGTTCTCTTATCCTTTCATTGCGACAAGAAGTCCACTTCTGTAATAGGCACCCGCCCCGCCCCGCCCCGCATAGAATTTAAACCCGCATTCACCCGCCCCGCACTCCACCCGCGTTCACCCGCCCCGCCCCGCACCCGTAATTTTTTTTTATTTATAAAAATTCTTTCTTTTTTGGAAAGCTAGACTTAAATCTGATTTTTTTAACAAAACAATTAATTACATCCAAAATGTTCTTAAATTCCCATATTTTGCCTCTAAATCTAGTGATTTTTCCTATAGAACAATTAAACTCCATAACTTATGGAAGTGAATAAAGTAAATAGACAACTAATAGGAAATGTGCCTCAAATTATTGGTGGGTTTTGTTTGCAAAGAAGGGTTTTTGTGGACATTTTTTCAAAGGTCCTTACTGGACTAATATATTTTTGGACTAATATATTTTGGACTATGTACACTTTTCCAAACTGATACTGCTCTATACTGACATTAAATCTAGTACTATATATGATGATGATGATGATTATGGTCGAAGGTAGAAAATGCAGAGGGAACTTTGCAGAATGTTATTCATGTCCTGTCACAAGATTTCATTTTTATTTGGCAATAAAGAGAATATTAAATAGAAATGGAAGGCACGTTTACCTTTGCCTTTAATTTGCTTTAAAAAATAGCACCATTAAAAATAATGAAGTTACTAAAATGCATTTTTGTAAATGCATAATTTTATGAACGAAAATTTCTATTACATGAACTACATATAATTCAAATAGAAGAAAAGACTTTATAAAGATCTCTCTATTAGTTTAAAATATTAAATCCTCACCCGCACCCGCACCCGCCCCGCCCCGCCCCGCAACCACAAAATCTCAAATCTGCCCCGCCCCGCTAACGTTCAAACCCGCCCTGCGCCCACACCCGCACCGCCCCATTGCCATCCCTACTTCTGTTACGATGTTTCCTGTCTGTCACTTTCTTTCTTTTGATTGGAACATAAGCATTTAACGAACTCATTTTTAGGTGTCAGGGGAAAACTTTGCTTTTTACTGAATGCACGCTCTTGTACTCAGATATTAGCTTCTTGATATCATGAATACATATGGGCTTACACCATAAGGCTCACTACAAACTTTCCTTGTTGCTTCCCAATTGTGTTACAGGTAACGTTAATTGCACAAGGAGATGTTCCTTTGTCAATAGTGATGACAGCATGCACCACAATTGGTGCAGTGCTTGTCACTCCCTCCTTGACGAAGATTCTAGCTGGAACTTATGTTCCTGTGGATGCTCTTAAGCTTTCCATCAGCACGCTCCAGGTTACATCATTTCACTTTGTTCTGTAAATATATTGATACTTTTGACTCGTCAAATTACCTATATGGAGTATATGTTTACAGAAATTAATAATTTATTTTTTCTTGTGTTGCTTCTTTTTTAGGTTGTGGTTGCTCCACTTATTGTAGGTTCTTATATGCAGCACAAATTTCCGAAGGCAGTGAAACTTGTTACACCTTTTGCTCCCCTTCTAGCAGTCTTAGCTACTTCTCTTGTTGCTTCCAGGTTTAGTTGTTGATTCTGAATCATTTTCTCTGTGGTGATTGTTCACTTAACTGTCCTTTCTTGCTTCATTCCTTTCTCATTCTGTCTTTTGTTGTCTTTTTTGCTCAGTATATTCTCCGAAAATGTTGGGCGTCTAAGATCTTCTGTGGTTGGCATATCATTCTCTTCCGATTTGTCTCTGCTCAATCGTGCTCAGAATGTGCTAACTAGTGAATTTGGGCTTGTTGTGGTATCTGTAGCATTGCTTCATTTTGCTGGTTTCTTTGTTGGGTAAGATTATCCTTATTTCGTTGTCACAATCTATTGTCCTGATTTAGCGTCCATGCAATATGTCGTCTGATGAGATCTTCATCAGGTATCTATCTGCTGCTTTGGCTGGTTTTGGCGAACCTCAAAGACGGGCTGTATCCATTGAGGTATGTTTCTGATTGGTTTAAGACTCCTAAGCTTGCTACTTGGGTCAATTCTAGCCAAGCATGGAAAGAACACATTGGTAACAAGTTTCTATTTTGTTCTTAGTAGCCCAAGACAGTTCTTTAATCAGTGTCTGTTTTTTATCACTTCCGAATGACCCATATTTCTCATGGACGAAACCAATTTACCTATTAAATGGGGGAGGAGAAGAGAACCTACTGAGTACTGAAAAAAATTTTACTCAACGGATAGGAAGATCGCCTCACTATCTATTTCCCTTGCCACAACCTTGTACAAATTCAACTGAATTCAGGAAAGTTGTTAGATAATTATTATAAATCTTGTGAAACTTATTTCATCTTCACCTAATGGTCAGTAATTGAGCCGTAATCAGAAAAGGAGCTTCTCCCTCTCTATCCCCTTCTTCTTCTCAATAATAATGCAGCCAATGATGTTAAACTTTCTGTCTTGCAGGTGGGCATGCAAAATTCGGCCTTGGCTGTGGTTTTAGCAACCTCCCATTTCTCTTCACCAGCAGTTGCACTACCTGCTGCCACTTCAGCTATTGTAATGAATTTAATGGGTAGTTGTTTAGGTTTCTTTTGGAGATGTATCAACCCTACTCAACCAAGGAGTAGTCTTGAACTGGCTGATAAATCATGAATATTCATGTTGAACCATAGTTATCTATTTCTCCTATTCGTATAACTATCAATAAGTTCTTGTTTTCACCATTCTCTGAGTTCACTTTTGAGGCCCTGGCAAGGCTGAAAACTCATCAGAAGTATTCTGGAGAAGTCCTTGAAGATTATTGCCTTATGAGAGAGTGGTTTCCGGGAAAGTACCGGAAGAAGGTGAAAGCATGTCTAAAGGGCAGTCCGGTACACTAAGCTCTCGTTAATGTGCGGATCTAGGGAAGAACGGACCATATTGGGGCTATTGTGCACAGCTGTACCTTGCATTCATGCAAGTGGTTGTTTCCGTAGCTTGAACCCCGACCTCAAAATGGTCAGACGACGGCTACTCTTACTGTTGTTTCAAGACTTCACTTAAAGGATACAGTTTAGAAAAAGCAGTCTTTTCGTTGGCCAAAGATCCAACTTTCATTAGCTTCTGATTTATTTTTTTAAGAATGTGAAGAGGTTCCTCAATCTTGATTCCAAGAAAAAGCAACCAATGTTAGCTGGGCTGTTTCATGGCAAACGTTCGACAGATGGGACAATATGGTGTCATTATTTGACATGGAAACTGTGGTTGCAATTTGTGAGCAACCTGCAGTTTTCTCCTGTCTTGAATCTTTCTAGACACGCAACACATACTGAGGAATCTTGTTGTTGGTCTCTCTCGTCAACCTGGTATAGGTAACATGGGAATTTCTTCAAGTCTTTATCAGACATTCTTGTTCCTCCATTGCTGCTATTTTGAACAATCACATCGACTTCAACAATTATTCTCGAACAAAAGAAGATTACAGAGATTATAATGCACCAAAGAAACCTATGCTCTTCTCAGCAATTCTTTTTCATAGTACACGAAAACGGACAAGTTTTTGGAGTAATGATCTTAAATCAGACAACATTGGTCTTTGCAAGGAACTTTGAAACATGTTTTAAGTTGCCAACTTGTATGACAAAGTTGGAATTGACTTCTTGTTATATCCTGTTTCCCTGATTAGTTTTTTTCTCGGAAGTAGACATGGCTTCGTTTCTGTTGCATAATTTGCTATAGACAATAAGAAGACTTTGTGAATAATGATAGAGTATATATATTATGAAAGAATAGTAATATCTATATCTATATATATCTATATATATATTAAAGCAATAAAGTTATCATATATATTGGAATTATGATTAAGCCAAGTGGCAAGCTATTAAAAAGCCACTTGGCAATATTAAAGAGAGTTTGTAGGAATATTGTCAAATAATTAAGGAGAGTTTATAGGGATATGGTCAAATAAGAAAAAATAGGTTAAGAACTATATATGCAATCCCATTTACTAAATTAAATCTTTTATTATTCAATTCTGTTTTGAATCTTATATGGCAATATTAAATTCAATTTTATTATAGATCTTTAATTATTTCAATTCCGTTTAGGCTCCTTCTTACAATGAATATTATCAATTAAAAGGGAGGTTGAGATAGATTTTGACTCTTATATGACAGAAGTTTGATTTACCTTGAATACAGTATCTTGCAAGTATGTAACTTTTTTAAATTGGTATTTGATTAACCATATATCTATTAGAATTTATCCAGCATTAGATACAAATAATTTTATTTTTTAGATTAAATAATACATTATGTTGATTGTGAGGAGAAATCATGATTAAAGAAATTATTTTTATCGGCAAAAAACCAAGCGGCTATGTGATTTTATTTATTCAAATGAATTAAACTTAAATCGATCATATATATAAATAAAGATAAATAGGAAACTTGATTTTAGCATATACTATTATTACTAGTAATAATAATAATAATAATAATAATAATAATAATAATAATAATAATAATAATAATAATAATAATAATCGCCTATCTTCTGTCTATTTATTTGTTACACCAAATTAATTCAAATCATATCCAAGATTTTAAATTGAAAAATAAAATAAATAAAATTTTATCAAGCTTTTGAATAAACAAAGAAAACTCCAAGGACGAAAAAAATACTTTGAAATTTTGGTGAAATATAAAGTATGAGCATATGCACTTCTATTTTTAATCTATTATTATATTAAACACCAAATAAAATGATTATATAAAAGTTTTATAGTAGGAAATATAATATAAAAAAGAAAAATAGAGAATGTAAGTTTTATACTTTGAATTAAGTTTAAAATAAAATGCCTATATTAAATAAATAATACTAAAAATATTACTGACAAATTTAGACAATAACCTGAGAAGTAGAATAAAAGAATATAAACAAATAAAAAATTTATTACAAGAAAAAACCTAAATTCATCTATAATATATTATAATGGGAGTAGCAGACACGATATGGATAATTTTAAGTTATGGTACTGCAATAACATGGACAAAAGATCAAAAAAAAAATTATGTAAATAAATAATTTCAGTATTGAGATATATAGAAGAATAAGACTTATTTGATTTTTTAGAAGAGAAAGTTTTTCAAATAATAACGAGAGAATTCATACTATATGGATAAGATACACGTATTCGAAAATATTATAATAGATAAAACTAAAATAGGAAATATAGACTTTTGACATAATTTCAAGAAATAAATAAAAAATATAAAGATATATTTTAAATGTTTATGTAGTTAATTTCAATAGAAACTAAAAGTCATTGGACATGCAGTTTGATTCTCTAGCTCAATTAGCATTCAGTTTTTAGAATCGAAATGTGTGATGGATGTAGTGTGGATTAAACAGTTTTAAAGTTATTTTCAAAAAAAGAGAATGGCCATGGGCAAGTGTCACGACCGAATTCCCTACCCGGTCGTGATGGCGCCTCTCGTGAAGACAAGGCCAGCCAACAGAACAATAGCACCTCATTTTAACAGTTAATTAGCATGAATAAGTCTAAAACATAGATAATGTACTCATAAGTGCGGAATAAATCAAAGTAAAACAGAGAACCATCCCAACTCAGCCCGACAATGGGGGTAGTCACAAGTCACGAGCTACTACAGAGTTCACTAAATCTACAAGTATGGAACTAGGAACAAGTCCGAAGATAATGTAAATACAGAAGATAAGGGAGAGAACGGGGCTAGTGA